TCGCCCTCGCCGCACAAGTCAAGAAGTACCGTCACAGAGTACCGTCGTCTACAAAGCTAGAACATGGCTGCAGCGTGTTCATTAGTGGCTGAGTTAGTTGAGGACAAGCTTCATCAATTATGGAATGCTATTCTATTTGGGGAGGGCGAGTGTAGCAAGTTGACTGCATATGAGAATTGAGAAGTATAATATTAGAGATAGTATTAACTAATAAAGAGCTCTCTCAACCAGTTGTTTGGTTGGGAGCAGTTGGTCGGGGAGACCAGCACACTTCGATTTCTCCCCGCCAGCCCCAAGACTCTCTTCATCCTTCTCTTCCTCCTTCAAGGGGCCGGTTTGATATAATAGTCGCTCGTTTTGAAAGCTTGCCGATAGCGACGGTCCAGATGATGGCCTACAAAACAAGCATACTAATAATCAAGTACTAATTGGATCTCTTTAGATGATCTCACGGTCACTTCAGTTATAGCTGATGTTGAGCAATCTCGACATGCTCTCGCATTCCTTTCCAACGATGCTGCACCTCTCATTGCTGGAGAACTCACTAGTAGTGACTAAGGTATGTACATCGTCATAAACCCGGCCTCCTTGTCTTATCTCAATGTCATGCTACCCACAAGCGCTAAATGGCTTTAACTCGAGCGACTATAAGTTTTATCGTACATGCAATTAATGATCTGATTCTGATGTGTCATCTTCGTACTTAGTCGCACCCTGATGCAGATCTTTCCTTGACGTCATTCCCGAATCTTGGCCTAAAGTCGAATATGAAGTCCTTCCCGACTGCGTCTTTGTTGCCCAAGGAGGAAACCCTCGCCGACCGGTTCCTACAGCAGTATCCGGACTATGATGGGCGTAACGCTGTTGTCGCTATCTTCGACACGGGCGTGGATCCGGGGGCCATCGGTCTACAGACGACGCCCGATGGCCGCCCCAAGATCATCGACGTTGTGGACGCCACAGGCGCCGGAGACGTGGATACGTCCACAGTAATTGAGGCCAAGGACGGACAATTAACACTCGCTAATGACCGCGTTCTCACGCTCAATCCCGACTGGAAACCGAGCCAGGACGGTAAATACCACGTCGGTACTGTAGCCGGCTACCATTTATTCCCCGGCCCATTAGTGACCAGACTCAAGACGGAACGCAAAGAGAAGTTCGACATTGAGCAACGCGCTGCCGTCAATGCAGTACAGGAGCAACTGGCCAAGTGGAGCAAGGAAAACAGTGCAACCACGAATGATACAGCCAAGCTGAGAGAGAAGAAGGACCTTCAGACGCGACTCAAGCAGCTCGAAGAGCTGGCCAAGAGCTACGAAGACCCTGGACCGATCTACGACGCTGTTGTCTTTTACGACGGCACGTGCTGGCGCGCAGCGCTGGATACGAAGGAAACCGGTGATTTTACCGGTATACCGGTACTGACCAACTTTAAGGACGAGCGGCAGTACGCGACCTTCTCGGGTGAATCTCAGCTCAACTACGTGCTGAATATCTATGACGAAGGCAACACTTTAAGTGTCGTGAACGACGTGGGAGCTCATGGAACGCACGTGGCTGGAATCGTGGCAGCGTATCACCCAGACCAGTCGGAATGCAACGGTGTGGCCCCTGGAGCTCAGATTGTAGCTGTGAAGATCGGAGATGGCAGACTGGGGAGTATGGAGACGTCATCAGCTCTGAGTCGCGCGATCTTGGCCGTCATGGACGCCAACGTGGACGTGGTTAACATGAGTTACGGTGAGTATGCGTCGCAGCACAATTACGGTCGAATTGTGGAGCTCAGCAATGAATTGGTGGACGAACACAACGTTACTTTCGTCGTGAGTGCCGGTAATAATGGACCTGCATTGGGCACAGTGGGCGCTCCAGGCGGTACGACGTCCAGTATGCTGGCTGTGGGTGCCTACGTGTCGCCCAAGATGATGGAAGGTGAGTATATTATGCGAGACAGTGCTCTATCTGGCATTGCCTACACGTGGTCGTCTCGTGGTCCGACGTTTGATGGAGACTTGGGAGTGAACATCTGCGCTCCTGGAGCTGCCATTGCGCCTGTACCGAACTGGACGTTGAACAAGAAGCAGCTTATGAATGGCACATCTATGAGTTCGCCGAATTGCGCTGGAAACATCGCACTGCTGATCAGTGCAATGAAAGCTCAGGGCGTTGAGTACACGCCGTATTCTATCCGTCGCGCGTTGGAGAATACTGCAGTTAAAGTGCCGAATGTGGAGGTGTACGCACAGGGCAAAGGGTTGATCCAAGTGCTACCAGCGTTCAAGTATCTAGCTGGCAGTAACTCGTTCGATGGTGGACGGAAGTTCCCTCTGCATTACGAGATCAAGACGTCGTCAGGTGATGGCAAAGCGCGTGGTATTTTTCTTCGAGACAGCGTCGACTTCGCTCATGATAGCACGGAAGTTAACGTCACAGTGACGCCCAAGTTCCACAAGAAGGCGGTGCAAGACGACAAGGTTCACTTCGAGCAACACGTGCGTCTGGTTCCTTCTGCTCGGTGGATCGATGTGGGACGAAACCTGGCGTTGATGCATGGCGGACGTGCGTTCAAAGTGCTCGTGAAGACCAAGCACCTGACTGCTGGTGAACACTATGGCGAAATTGTGGCTTACGACACAAAGAACGAGGCTCGTGGCGCTCTGTTTACCATTCCAGTTACTGTGATCAAGCCTGAAGACGCCAAGTCGGTGGTAACCTACCAGACCAAGTTCCAGCCTGGTGATATCTCTCGTCGGTTCTTTACACCAGCTCAAGATTCTACCTGGGCTGATATTATCTTCTCACGTGCTAACGAGAACGACCGTGAGGTGGAATCCAACGCTTCCGGTAAGCTCTACATGTTCGACGCTCTGCAGTTCCAGCCGTTTGTGCGTCAGAGCTCGTCATCGTTCCATAAGGCCTTCTTCCTCAAACCAGGAGAGGAAGTTGCGTTCAGTATGGATCTACTGGGAGGTTTAACCACCGAGTTCTGCTTGGGTCAGTTCTGGAGTGCATTGGGAGACTCGATTGTGCAGATCGAGATTCGATTTCACGGTGTTAAACCTGATCAAGAGAAGATCGTGGTCACTGGAGGGGAAGAATC